TGAGTTCCTGGGATTAATAAAAACATACAAAGATATATTGTACTGTGAGTTCTGGGACTTCCTGAAGAAATGGAGGCACCTCAAAGACACAGACAGGGTGGGTGGAGAGGACAGAGAGGGTCCTGAGGGCTGGTCTTAATGCCACCACTCCCTACAAGGGGGCAGGCAGTGCCAGGGTGGGGCACCATGTTCTCTAGTTCCAAGAAAACAGCAAAGAGAAGGAATGTCATAGCCCGTGTTCAGAAGGACATGGGAAAATGGAATCATGGGGGTTTGGTACCATTCCCCTTGGTTCTCAAGAGGGTCCAGGTAGGAGAAGCTGAACATGATCCCAGATTTATTTCATTATTACAATGTACTGCTCTCACAGTCCTCACCACCCATGGAGCTCCAAGGGAAGAAAATTAAGCAAAGCAATTGGCCTACTCGGTGGGGCTCCTTCTCTTCCACTGATTTCTGGGATATCCTGACCACAGATCTCCACAAAGGACAGCCTGGAAGATTGGGGGGAATGTAGAGGGAGCCGGCTCAGTTTGCACCCTTGACTCTCCAACAGTGCACAAGGGTTCTTTTCTCTCCACATCCTTGCCAACACTTGTCTCTGGTAACAGCCATTCTAACAAGTGTGAGGTGGCGTTTCCCTGATGTGGAGTACCTTTTCACACTTGCTGGCAAGTTTGACTATTTACCTCATTTAAGTGGAATCATGCAGTATTTGTCCTGTGACTGGCCTATTTCATTTAGTACAATATCCTCAAGGCTCATCCATGTTGACACATATTGCAAGATCTCCTTTTTTAAGGTTGAGTAACATTCCATTGTATTGTATATACCACATTTAAAAAGATCCATTCATCCATCACGAAGATTTAGGATGTTTCCACATCTAGGCTGTTGTAATAGTGCTACAATGAACACAGGAGTGCCGATACTGTTTTGAGATGCTGATCTCAAATATTTTGGATAAAGACCCAGATTGGGATTGCTGGATCATAGGACAGTTCTATTTTTAATGTTTTAAGGAACATACTTTTTTCCAGTGACTCAACCACTTACATTCCCATTAACAGTGTACAAGGGTTCTAGCTTCTCTATATCCTCACCAACACCGTTCTTCTGATTTTTTGCTAATAGCCACCTTAACAGGTGTGAGCTTTTGCCTGTTTTGATTTACATTTCCCAGATGACTTATGACACTGTTGACACCTCTCTCATTCTTGAAACATTTTCCGTGGCTTCCCTCATTCCAGTCGGCTTTCTTGATCACTTATGGGTTCCACCTAGCCCTTTTATCAGACACATACTCCCTGGACCACCTTGCCTGTGTCTATGCCTACAATCATGTGCTGAGGTTCCTATATCTGCATCTCGATCTGATTCCTCTAATTTTTATATCCATTTTACCCAGCAATCTACCAAGTACCTCCGTAAGAATGTCCCATGGCCCCTTCAAATGTGTCAAATCGTCCCTCTAAACCTTCTCTAGTGTACTCTGTAAACGTCAGCTAGCCAATGCTCAAGACATCACATAATCTTCATTTACCCTTCTTCCTTCTATTCAACCTATTTACAAATATATAGATTTTACCTTCTGAAAATTTCTCTCAGCAATAGAACTTTTTCCATTTTAATACCCACTACAATCACATGGGTACAAGACCAACCAGACACCTATATGGGTTCCTGTCCATTCCACTACTTCTTGGTCTGGTACCTTCTATCTCATGCTAGGGTAACTGGACTTTTGCCTTGTTCTCTTCACAGAAAGTAGCTTTTCAACCACCCAGTTTGGCTCAGTGAGAGCATTCACTTCCTCAAGGGACTATTNTAGCTTTTCAACCACCCAGTTTGGCTCAGTGAGAGCATTTACTTCCTCAAGGGACTATTAACTTGTATGCTACTACCAAGTTCTAGGACACTGGGTAAATTAAAACTCAAAGAAGTTTCTGGATCTACACAATGGGAGAATTCAAGAAAATAAAGCATGCCAAATACAGAGCCTAGTGGCTCTTAAATGTCATTCAGTATTGTGACAATAGGGACTTGGCTAATAAATTTGGCCTGTATGATGTACTTTTCAGCCCTGAAGTTAACATGATTAATAAAGCTTCATAGTAAACGATCGACATATAGTGATAGTGGTACCTGTTTCGAATGTAAACCATCTTGGGAGACCGTTCTAGTTCTGAAATGTTTGAAAACCAAGGGATCAAGAGCACACAGCTAGGCCGCAGGATCCTGCACTCACTGGAAGCCGTGTGGCATGTTTGAAAACCAAAATGTTAGTCAACAGTGTTAAAAAACCAAGGTACCACTGTAACATTAAGTCTATTTTCCTGGTTAGTTGCTTGCCTTCTAGTGCACCAGGCTGTAAACTGCGGCTGTACACTTTAGAATCATCCCAGAAACCTTTTACAAGGCTGACAGCACCCAATCAATTAAATCAGAATTTTTGTGGTGGGACCCAAATACATGTTATTTGGAAAAGCTCCAATATGAAGCATTATACTGTGTATGTTCCTCAGTGATCAGGTCTCATTTACTGTTAAACAGAACTTAGTTGTCCCATGATTCCAAACGTAAACTGGTTTAGTGGCCTCTTGGAAACATAATGAAAAAGGGTAGACAGACCCCCATAGCCTACCCATCTAATTTTGATTATTCTACTTAAAATGTAGAATAAATTCATCGTACAATGTATATCCCTAAGATCTGCCAGTATCATGAATAAAAGCCAACAAAACTTAACAACAGATAGTCAATTTATTAAAAAGGTTGACTTAAGCATCTGCAATGGTAACTTCAACCTCGACTCCTGGCTCAATACTGATGGAAGTAATCTGCTTAACAATCTCAGAAGGGCTGTGCAAGTCAATGAGCCGCTTGTGGATCCTCATCTGAAATCGATCCCAAGTCTTAGAACCCTCCCCACAGGGAGTTTTCCTTGTAGTGATTCTCAGAGTCTGCAACAAAAGACAAAGGAAACCAAGCATTTATGGTTTTATGGTCATTTCTAGGACATCTGGAAAACTACTACTCTGAAGTACTCCATTTGAAAATTCCCCAGGGCATCATTCCTCTTCACCAACAGGCTCTCAGGCCCTGTCAGTCTGTAAGGGTAAGTCCCTTTTCACTCAGCCCTCCTGAGAGCAGGTGACTGTAAAGCACCACCAAGGGAACGCAGCAAAAGGGCTTCAACTGTGACCTCTTAAAAGTTAGGCACCTAGTATGAACTAACCTCTAACAGCAATTTTTACTTGGTTTGTATTGTTAGCACCAGTATATTAAACTTTTGGCAGCCAACCCCTTATCCTAAACCTAAAGGGTAAAAACTGGGACTCAGACAACAAAAAGCAACCCCTCCCCCTGCCCGATTTACGTCACCTTGGTAGGCATCCGAACTGGTCCTTTCACTTTGAGATTCTTTTCCTTTGCGCCCCTGATCAAGTCAGCACACACTACAGAGAAGTACAAACATCTTTCAGTTCATTCAAAACAACCATAATCTGCTTACATTTTAACTGCTGCTGGCTCAGAATAGCGTATAAAACTATCACGGGAATTCAAAAAGTAATTATCTCCTCATCGCCAACTACGAAGTAAGAGACACAGTTAAAACTAGATGCGGATCACTCCTCTCTTCTGGGTAAGACACTTGTCACTTCTCTGAGTCCATCTTGCACAAAACAAATTCAACTCATCGCTTTTTGGCCCGAAAGTCTCCCCTGAAACTACTGTACTGACCCTTCTCCAGAGACTTGACGTTGCGGCTGGTCAGAGTAATTCTGATTCGGTGAATGGCCACCTCAGGCTCCACGGGTGTCTTCCCGGTGTCTTTAAAGGCCTAACGCACAAGTGAGAACAACACCAAAAGTATTAAAAGTCTGCCAACTCTAGAGACGAGCGTTATCAAAACTTCCCGGGCCCCTCCGCCATTTCAGGAGCTCCCTGACCAGTGAGTGCGCTTTACTCACCGCCTCCCCCCATCCCGGCGTCCGTCCCCAGAGGAGAGCGACACGCGGGACTGAGGCCCGCCACCGCCACTACCGCGCGGCGCCGCCCTCCGCCTCACCATGGCTGCGGCGCGGCGTCCTGACCGACTTGTTCCTCGGCGAGAGCGAACAGCGGTGAGTCAGGAGCAGGAGCGGGCGGCTCGCAGCACCACCGCAGCAGCAACCGCGTCTTCCTCAAAAAGAAAGGCAGGCGGTCTGCGCGGCGCTTATATAGCCGCGCCCGCGTCTGCATCCGGGTCCTGCGCGTCTCTCCGCGCTGCCCCGGAAGAGGAAGAGCTCTGTGGGCTCTGGAGGCTCTAGAAGCAGCTGCACAAGCCCGGGCTGGAGCGGCGCGCAGTTGGCGGGAAAGGTGCGGGTTCCGGCGCCCCCTGTCGGCCTGGCGGAATCAGAGCCCCTTAAGATGGGGGGTGGGAGCGTGGGGGGCTGCTAGCGCAGTAGCCAGGACAAAGAGAAAGCGGCCTGCCTTAAAACCTGAGAAACTTCTTTCTGGCGATCTTACCTCCCCGGCTTCCTCGCCGTCAGGAACGACTCCTGTGGTTTGTACAGTGCAAACTTGGCTTCCCGTGCAAACCGAGTCCCTCGTTCTCAGAGTAAGTGGATAACTTCTCTGAGCTTAACTCACGTGGGTGTTAGGAAAAGTGATTCTGATAACCTAGGCATGCTATTTAAAAAATTAACAGGCAGTTATTTTTTTATAGCCTGAACTAGCCTTGCGTAATTCAGCTCTGGCTTCCCAGACCTGTAGAAGCATCTACACCTGCTTTTCCTGGAAGGTTCTCCCCTTCCAGGAAAGTGAGGGCCAAAGTGTCAGGCCGCGGGGATTCCCCGGAGCGGGCTGTACATCTGGAGGCCCAGCCTGGAGACCCAGATTACCTACCTGATTCTAAATCACGCTATCTCCTCTCTCCTCTGATAAAGTAATGCTGGAGAGGACCCTTCCAGGTCTTGCTAATACTGAGCATCTGCTCATAATCAAATGTGGGACAAAGTACAGTGGGAAAAACCAAAGAGCAGTCAACCATCCTAGGTGGCAGGAGCGAGTATAGTGGGGACCCACCTACAGTAAACCCTTGATGTTTTGGACCTTGATTTAAAGGACTTTGGATTTAACTGACAGAATTTCTGATCCGTATGTCATAAGTGAAAATTAACACCCTGTTAATTTTTAAATGCTTTTAACCAAGATTGGCTTATAATTAACAGGTTAAATTTTTGTTATTAATTCACTGTTATTTTTAACACATTATAGCGAGTAGGCCATATATGTTGGAAAAAACACTGTAGTGATTTCATCGACATAACTAAATATTACATATCTACAACTATAGCCTTCATATTTAAATCAAAGAATCGTCATTCTTAAACAATGTTTCGCGAATGATTAGCGCACAATCACACGGCCTCTTCCATCTCCTGCGCTAATGTCGCCTGGCATGGCTTTCTACAGAGTGCCCGCTGATGTTCCCTGTTCCCAGTGCACTAAGCCATGCCCCAGCCCTGTGTATTTGTTTACTCTCTGTGACTGGTGAATGTATGCATTTACTAGACCTGTTCAGTATAAGTTTAAAATTACAGTAATACATATGGAAAACTTTTCTGTGAAATTAAACTTTTCATACATACTTAATTTAATTACACAAATGTGTCTACTTAAGTGAAAACAGGTAAACTAATTTGTCAATTTTTTAACATATACATTCCGAAAATCTACTTTATTATATAATGGACTTTAGGCTTTAATGGACACCCCGTCACCTGAATTAGTCTGTTACATTGAGGTTTTACTATACCTAAACATGAAGGGCAGTTTAAATAGAATGAAATACAGGGAAGAAGGAAGAGCAAATAATTTCATTATTTTACATGTGAACCTTTGAGTGCAGAAGAGTTATTTGCGCAGACACAAGGAATTGGTGAAGGACAGAGCTCTGACCCCTCCAATTAGGATTCTTTCTTGAACCTTTCTCTTCTATTCCTTCGAAGGAAATTATATTTGAAACTCTTATCAAATAATAATATTGACTTACATGTTTGGTGATAACTGGCTTTCTTTGGCTTACAAAGAATATACAGTGTGTCCCCCAAAAATGTATACACACTTTAACAGGTGACAGCTCAATTTTGAAAATGAAATGTATTTTAATACACACTGCCTTTATAATTATTCAAAGTATATGTATACATTTTTTGGGACACCCTGTATATACTAGATTTTGCTGCCATTTAACAATGTGTGAAAATTTGGATATTGTCCACTTGAGTTATTTTAAAATGTCATCCATTGGCTGTAAATACTATATTGGTAGGATTTCCAGCAGAAAATCCAAAAACCTGCACTTTTGCTTTACTGACCGTAACCAAAATGAGACTTCATAATTTAGGGCTTTATTTTAGCAGTAGGGTTATCAGCAAACAAAAGTGCAATTGCCTAAGCTCCCCAGGATCTGATTAACCACCCTTGCATTAGTACTGAAGGTGAATGTGCATTTTCAGACAGCTTACAGCAGCATTCATGTTTTACCAGTGCTCAAAGGACAACCAGAAATTCAATGATAGAGTGCTTGAGAAGTACATTGATGATTTGTTTCAGTAACAAATTCGGTACATCTATTCTTAGGCTTACATTCCCCTTCAAGCACTTAAGAAAATGGTGAACAAATTAACTTCCTTGACCATAGAAAAAGAATTTCAGTATAGACAAAGGCAAAATGTGGCCAGGAATGCGTGGGAAAAATTGTTGATGTGACTGGAACTAAGGAAACAGTTGGTTAAGATAATATGAGACAAATGTAATGAAAACGTCACTATTTTTAACTTGATAAGCTTTAGTTTCAAATATTTTGTTGTACTTTTCTCTTGAAAGTTGGCAGCTGCTATAGTCCCCAAATTTTAATTTAATATGTAATATTTTAATTTTACATGAATTTAATAGGAATCACAAAAGGAGAAGAAAACATATAATGCCACCATTCAGAGATAAACCACCGATTATCTCTTCAGGTGTGTATATACCTCTTTAAAAAATGGGTTTATATTCTATACACAGTTTGGTAAGCTGCTTTATTCACAGAGTATTTTGTTACAATAAATATAATTTTGCAACACTCCCTTTAATGACTGAATTGCATGAATGGTTCATTCATAACTTATTGAACTAGCCGTCTATTTTTAGACATTTAGGGTGTTTCTCTGTTTTTCACTCTTGTGAATAGTATCATGAGACACATGCTACTAGACCAGTGTTCCTCAGTCTCAGCACAATTCACATTCTGGGCTAGATGATTCTTTGTTGCGGGGAGCTACCCTATGCATTGTAGAATGTGTAATGACATTTCTGGCCTTCACCCACTAGATGCCTGTAGCAACCTCTCCCCTCCAGTTGTGACAATCAAACAAGTCTCCAATATTCACGCCCCCTGCCGCCCTGCACCATGTGAACCACTGTAGATGAATCTAATAGCTCATTTTTAATGTCTTAGATCAATTGCCAGATATACTTACCCTTTCACAGCTTATCAAAGAATACACATATTTTAAATACTTTGGTATTTAAAATAGGTAAATTGCCCCCTGGGAATGTTTTACCCAAATAGATACTTCTTCCAGGAGTATAATGGAGATTTTGTTTCTTTTTAAAATTTAAAAATATTCCTAAAACCATTACAAACTTTGTTTTAAATATTTCTAGCCATAACCCTCCATTACCAGTTTTTGCAGTTCTTTTACAATTATCTTGTAAAGACTTTTACTGCAGTTATTTGTGTCTTTCTGTGTTCAGCCATCTACTGGTCTTTTCCTGCAATGACAGTGTCATCATACTACTTCCAAAAGGAAATTAACAGCAGTGAAAAACTAATTCAGGGTACATGTGTATATTTATGAATAAAATTATAAATTATAAAGGCAAAATGTCAAATAATGTGAGTGAATCTGTTTAGACACTGAATTTTTTTTGCTTGAATTTTTAAAAAAATTTATCTTTATTGTTGAAAATTATTTGCTGAATTTTTTATCTAAATAAGTTTGTTAAAATGTTGAAGTCTGAAATTTAAGAAAAACCAGGGAGTTTAAAACTTTCTCTTGTGGTTACCCATGTTGTATTGGTAGAAAGTAAAATGTGGAGGCAATTTCTTGTTTAAAAAAGTAAAGAAAAGAGATATCCACAGTCATCCCCCACCCAAACAAAAGTTTGTTTTCAGTCTTTTCTCTGTGTGTTTTAAGAAAAATTTGTTGACTTTAAGAAAAGTTATAATCAAATTGATATATAATTTTGTGTTCTTCCCCATTCACTTAATGTAGCATAGGTATTTCTATGTTGTGAAAATCATCATCACATTTTGAATTAACTGTTGTATTATAACTTAACCATTTTGGACATTTACCTTGTTTCAATTTTTTCTCTAGAATAAATGGCTCTTAGTGAACATTCAGTTAATTAGAATGCTTATTTTGTAGTATTTCCTAGGTTGTATTTCCAGAAGCATAAGTACTGAGTCAGTGGATATATTTTCGAGGTTCTTGACATACATTGCCAAACTGCAATTGCTTTCCAAAAACTTGTACTAATCTATATTGTCGCCAGCAATATCTGGAAGATCAGTTCACCAGCTTCATTAGCATCAAGAATTTTGTGAATGTATANTACTTCTTCCAGGAGTATAATGGAGATTTTGTTTCTTTTTAAAATTTAAAAATATTCCTAAAACCATTACAAACTTTGTTTTAAATATTTCTAGCCATAACCCTCCATTACCAGTTTTTGCAGTTCTTTTACAATTATCTTGTAAAGACTTTTACTGCAGTTATTTGTGTCTTTCTGTGTTCAGCCATCTACTGGTCTTTTCCTGCAATGACAGTGTCATCATACTACTTCCAAAAGGAAATTAACAGCAGTGAAAAACTAATTCAGGGTACATGTGTATATTTATGAATAAAATTATAAATTATAAAGGCAAAATGTCAAATAATGTGAGTGAATCTGTTTAGACACTGAATTTTTTTTGCTTGAATTTTTAAAAAAATTTATCTTTATTGTTGAAAATTATTTGCTGAATTTTTTATCTAAATAAGTTTGTTAAAATGTTGAAGTCTGAAATTTAAGAAAAACCAGGGAGTTTAAAACTTTCTCTTGTGGTTACCCATGTTGTATTGGTAGAAAGTAAAATGTGGAGGCAATTTCTTGTTTAAAAAAGTAAAGAA